ACCTAACTGATAGGGAATTCAGATCTCTAATATTCAGAATTATCCAAGAATTGAAGCAAAAACCAGATAAAAATGAGGAAACAATAGACAAATTCATGGAAAAGGCAGAAGTATTCATGGAAAACACAGACAAAAAAAATGGAAGAATTCAAGAAAATAATACAGGAAGAAAATGTTAAAATAAATTCACAACTAGAAATCATACAAAAACAACAATTAGAAATCCAAAACATAAACAACAAGGTTTCAGAAATGGACAGTGTCATACAAGGGCTGAGGAGCAGATATGAAATAGTGGAAGAAAGGATCAGCAGAATTGGAGATAAACACTCGGATACAACTCTGAGGAAAAGTCAGAAAAAAGAACAAAGAAAAATGAAGAAACCCTGAGAGTTATGTGGGATACAATCAAAAGCAAAAGTCTATGAGTGATCAGAATTCCAGAACAGGAGGAGAAAACAGAAAACCCAGAGAGGATTATTGAAGAATTGCTGACAGAAAACTTCCCCAATATCTTGAAAGAGGAAAAACTGACCATCCAAGAAGCTCAACAATCCGCATATAGGATAGACCCCAAAAGAATATCACCAAGGCATATCGTAATCACACTCGCTAAAACCAAAGACAAACAAAGAATCCTGAAAGCAGCTCGAGAAAAACAAAAAGTCACATACAGAGGAGAAACAATAAGACTAAGCTTGGATTATTCAGCAGAAACCATGCAGGCAAGAAGGAAGTGGGATGACATATATAAAACCTTCAAAGAAAAAAATTGTCAGCCAAGAGTAATATATCCTGCAAAATTCTCATTCAAATATGATGGTGAAATTAGGTCATTTCCAGATAAACAGAAATTAAGGGACTATGTAAAAACCAAACAAAACTTGTAAGACTTATTAAAGGAAGTCCTTCTATCTGAGAAAAAATAATATCAGCCCACAGACTGAATATAGGACACAGGATTGTACTAGCCAGATACCAACCTAGGAAATGAACTCTTAAGGACTATGCAAAACCAAAAGAATTACAAAAGAGAACCAGAGAGTT